TCATCATATATGGAAATTCCTAATTCCATCTCTTCTACTTTGCATTGTTTAGTAACCAGTTTCTTCCTTACTGGCTATTGTACATTTTTAAGTGGCATACAGCTGAAAGCAAGAACTATGTTTATAAGGAAAAGAGCACAAGAATACAGTTCTCTGTGTTATGTCTTCAGTACTACATAGACAGGGAACTGTAATGTATGAGAAGAGAGAAGGAAAGGGAAGTAAGCAGGTGAGAGTGAGGAGGTATATATTCATCAGTTATCTCCTCTTTATAGTCACTTGGTACACGCCTGGTGAATGTGACAAATACATAAACAACAGTTGTTAATAGCCAGGGAAATTGCTAGATAGTGACTAATGGAAAAGCACATTAGCCTTTATGATTTCTCTGAATCCATATCTTCAGAAGAGCTCATTTGATTTTGGGGTACTGCTGATAAGCTAAATTACCCTTGTTTAGCCAGAGCTTAGGTTCCCAAATATTTGGAAATGTTCTGGCTTGAAGTGTGCAACAAAAGGATCTTTGGATTTTTAGAGGAAACAAGAAGAGTCCATCTATATAATGAAGAGCTTGTTTTTTAAAGGAACTTGGGGGAATTGGGATTATTTCTTTGGTAAAGTGACTAATAACCCTCTAGTTTACCTACCTATATTATCAGTTTTTGCATATTGAACTTTTAAGTTTCTGTACTCATATTATGATGGCTTTCCTTCCTGCCTCTTCAATTGTTTTAGGTTTTAGATGTATTTAGAACTAAGAACACAAATTTGAGTCTTTATTATCCATTTTCAGTTAAGATATTTTTAAACTTCTACCAAAAGGATCAGCTGTAATTCTTTGACAAATGAAAAATCTGTGGGAGTAAAACAGTACTTATTTTCTTAAATCCTTTAGTAATTTTATACACATTTGGATGTCTGAAACAATATAGAATATTTTTTCATAGCTTAATAGATTATAATTATCATGATTCATGTAAATTTTACAGATTTAGTATGCTTCAGTTCCTAGAATTACCTATACATATTGATCAACTAAATGTATCTTTTTAAAAAATAATATGTTTGGTCATTAACATGACCACTTTATGATGACACACTTATGTTCAAAGTTTAATAATGCCATAAAACTCAACTAGTTTTGAATAGTTCTGCATTTCAAACTGAAAATGTGCTATTTTAGCCTATACTTTTATCCTATTTTGGGGAATGGCTGTACTTCACTGCTCCTTAATTTTGTGTTTCTGAGACCAAACCTAACAGACCCTACTTAGAATGTGACATGTGCTCAGATACCAGCCAGAGGCCATTTAACTCTGAGTCACAAGAACATGCAGCCATTCTAAATCATCCAAACTTTGATTTGGAATTTGGTAAATTCAGTTTTTAAGTGAGATTTCTTGTTAGCACAAGAGAAAATTGTTTAGTTATCCTAGTTATAGGAAAATTTAGAAATCACAGCCTGTGTCAAACCTGGTTAATTGTTCTGTCTCCTTGTGTTTATCACTGCAGTCTGCCTACGTAACTGGAAACCCTGTCATCATTGATGGAGGTTGGAGCTTATGATTTCAGCAACCCCTTGGTGGGGAGGAAGGCAGGACTTCCTCTCCACAGGGAACCTGGTTATGAATAAAACTCACCAATCATCTCTTTCTTATTAATGATATATTAATGAAAACAAGCCCCTTTTAATGATGTCATTGTTCACAAGAGTCTGATTCTTTAAATATATTTACCTCTTTGTAATCTCTTCTGAAATCATTGTAAGTAAATGAAATAAAAATATTGATCTCATTGCAAGAGAATAGTTTTGAAAATAAATCTCAATTTGTAAGCATCTATCTTAGTGAGTTTGGGCTGCTGTAACAAATTACCATAGACTGGCTGGCTTAAACATCAGACATTTATTTGTCACAGTCTGGAGGCTGGGATATATAAGATCAAGGTGCAGACACAGTACTGGGAAGGGCCCACTTCCTGATTTGCAGATGGTCGTCTTGCTATGTCCTCACAAAGCAAAGCAGAGAGAGAGAAAGCAAGCTCTCATGTATCTTTTTATAAGGGCACTAATCCCATTCATGAGGGCTCCTAATTACCAAAGGTCCTACTTCCTAATACCATCACATTGGGTGTTAGGGTTTCAACATATGAATTTGAGGGTGTAGAGTTGGAATATACAAATATTCAGTCCATAGCAGCATATACAATTAAAATGTGAATATGAAGAAAAAAGTAATTTTTTTTAAGGAAAACGAGTCATTTCTATTTTATTCTGTTTTTCAATAATCAAATATTTTTATACAATTCTGTAGTGTTCTGTATGTGGATCCTAATTTTAAAATTTTACGCCATCAGAAATGAACACCAAAGGTAGGAAGGAGTTTAGCTTCAATGACTTAGTATAAAAGGAGTTTAGATTCAAAACTATATTATTGATCTATTACATAAAATAAAATAATCCAGTGGATTATACTTACTGGATGTCATCCCATAGTTTCTTAGTCTAACTAAATAATCTTTATTAAAATAAGCAAATATTTGACGTGGGCCTAAGAACTAGGTAGTTAAGTAACTGACAACATTGTCGATGTGAGGGATTTTTTGTTTTTTTGGATTAAGTACAGATTTCTTCACCCAATTCCAGGATAAGAGACAAGAGTACATGAAATTTGAAATAGTCTCTGGATAAATAAATATAAATGAATTATATAACAGTTAAGAAACTAATGACATTAAGGAAAATAAAATTTTCAAGAAAAAAGGTAAGTAAATTTATGGATGCTAATTCTGTAACACTGGTAAGAAGAAGTTTTTTAAATTTTAATTTAAGGGTTTTATGTTTGTTTTTTATTTGTTGCAACCTCAAAAGACTAAATGGTATGATGTACATGGAGAAACTCAAAAAATAGGTTAGGTGTGTGGCTCAAGCCTATAATCCTAGCACTTTGGGAGGCTGAGGTGGGAGGATCACTTGAGGTCAGTCTGAGCAACATAGCGAGACCTGTTCTTATAAAAAATTAGCTGGGAATGGTGGCTTGCACCTGTAGTCCCTGCTACTAAGGAGGCTGAGACAAGAAGATTGCTTGAGCTCAGGAGTTTGAGGTTGCTGTGAGCTAGGCTGACGCCACGGCACTCACTCTATCCTGGGCAACAAAGCAAGACTCTGTCTCAAAAAAAAAAAAATATATATATATATATATATACAGAAAAAATTAGCTGGACATGGTGGCGATGCCTGTAGTCTTGGCTACTCCGGAGGCTGAGGCAGGAGGGTTGCCTGAGCCCAGAAGTGTGAGGTTGCTGTGAGCTAGGCTGACGCCCACGGCACTCTAGCCCGGGCAACAAAGTGAGACTCTGTCTCAAAAAAAAGAAAGGAAGAAACTCAATATTAAGCAGTTATTCTTAGCCTTTTTTTCCCTGGAATCTTAATATTAATTAACAAGGACAATTTTGAAATTGACAACGAAAGATAATGTTTCATATATGAGGAAGAATATCATGCAGTTGATTCCGAAGGTGAGTTAAAATTCACACCAAAGGATATTTTGACTAGCATCCTGGAAGATTCCATTGATTATCAAATTTGCTCTGGGGTTCTGGACCAGGTATTCCACTACTGGATCATGGATAGCTTCATTTGTGATGTAGACCAAGTCACCCAACTGATTTTGGATTTTAATTTTCTGGTTTCTGAAATTAGAGAGTTAGGCTAAATGACGGGTTTCTTAACACTGAAGCTTAAAAGTATGTCATGAAATAGTTTATGCTGTGAGCAGGCATACATGTATATGTACAGCTGTGAACAAATGAATTTCAAATAAACAGTGAATTCTACAAAATGGATTCTAACATTAGCAAATGCGCCGAGTCTTCTCTGAGCCAACCATAAACTATAAAACTTTATAAACATAAGCAATAAAAGCAAAGTAGAATCTAAACCAAAATAACGTTCTCCAAAGTCATGTTAATCAAATCAGGTGATGCATCAATGAAGATCATATGGCTGAAAGAGAAGAAAAAACATAAAACAGTTTAGATGCTCTGAAGAAGAGTATTGGCTTTAACCCAGGTTCATCACAGGGAGGACCTGAGAGATGACAATGAGCGGTTTCTGTGGTGGAGAAATTTATTCGAGAATACTACTTCTTGCGGGAAGAGCGGTGATTAAATTCGGCACTTAAAGGAGTGAAAACAGGTAAGACGCGAACGCACGTGCACACACAGAGGGGGACGCGGGAAAGGCAGATGCGAAAATGGAAGTGAATTAAATTCAAATACAGTGAAACCGTTGATGGACGGTGTAAGATCTAAAACAATACAGCAAGAACGGCAGTGCTGAAGAAACGGTAAAGGGCGATGAACGAGTCTTATCTCGCTGGGCACCTGAAGAAAGAATCCTGTCTTCCCACCGCGCTTGCTAAAAGGCGGAGCGCACACGATTGAGAGGTCGCCTCAGGGGCTCTGAGGAGGCTGCGCGGCTTCTCGCCGGCCGGCGGGGCGGGGCGTCGGGCGCGGCGCGGCCGGAGGACGCGGGCGGGGCGGCTCGCGGGGGCGGAGACAAGGGGCGGACGGGGGTCGAAAGGGGCGGCGGGCGGCGGCGCCGGCAGAGCGGGAGCGGAGGCTCTCAGAGGGCAGGAGGCGAGCGGGGGCGACGGAGCGGGGCGGGCGTCGAGAGCGAGGCGGCGGGGCGTCGGAAGGGCGGGGCGTGCCGGAACGCGGGCGGGGGCGCTTGGAGGGAGGGCGGGGCGGGCCGTCAGAGGACGGGATGGGGCGGGCACGGCGGGCGGGCGGGGAGGGGCGGGGCCGCGCTCGTGGCCGTTTCCGGGAAACGCGCTCGCTGGGCGCCAGGGTCCCGGGGCTGCCCAGAGAGGAGCAAGCGCAGGGCCGCCCGGAGGCCCCAGGCGGTGCCCCTGCGAGCCGGCGCGGTGGCCCAGCGCCGCGTCGCGCCGCCCGGCCGGAAGCCCGCGGGGAGCGCACGGGGCGGCGCCGCGGCCGCACCGCTCTTCCGGGTAACTGTGCGGCGCAGCCTCGGTGCCCTGCTGCGACGCCCGCGAGCCGCGAAGCCGAGCGCACGGTGGCCAAGCCCGTTTGCTAAGGGACGCGACGGAGCCAGCGGCCCGCGGATACGCAGCGCAGAGCCGACGCCCGGTAAGTAAAACGGCGCCCGCGCGGGATCTTGTAGGCCCCTGGGGAACTCGAGGGCGAGGACCAGCCCTTTCTGTTTGGGTGTTGGGGGTGTGCTGTTGTCAGATGTTGGAGGGAACAATTCTTGTTTGCTGTCGTTTTCTCAAGTCGGCCGAAGGGCTTTCTTTTGTGGGCTGTGTTAGCACGCTTGAGGTGCTAAGACTCCTCGGTCCGACTGCCTGGAGAATGTCCAACCTGCTTCAAGGTTGAGGCTGTGGCCTTTTTACTTATCAGGACCAGCTTATCTCACCCTTGTTACCTCACTCTAGACTCCGGTGTGGTTTGTTGCCCCAAAAGATTAACAGCAGGAAGCCACTCTTTCCTTTACCCTCCTAGCAAGAAATCAACCTGTTTTCACTGAAAGGCTAAAACTTTCCCCAGCCCCTGTATAAGGGGCCTCCACTTCACAGTTCCTGCTGCTACACGTGTAGTTCTCGTCTACTTTTCACAAAGTAAACAATGAAACGTTTCAATTAAGCAAGTGCCTGTGTGTCTTCTTTGTGCTAAGGAGCCATGGGGACAGGAGATGCAAATGTGAATTAAATATAGTTTCTATCATACAGGAGTTCAAAATCCAGTGGATCAGAATATACCTAAACAAGTACAGTAATTAGGTAGTGTGATTCGTGCTAAACTAATAATGTGAGCAAAGTGACTGAATCACGTGGTATATTTTCTAAGATATGAAGGTCTTTAGAATTATAATCCTGTTGACTACACGTTGCCTTTTTTTTGTTTGTTTTTTAGGACTTCTATAGAAGGTATTACCGATTAAGTGGAAAACAGTCGGTGACCTAGGTGTCCTGGGGTCTGTGCCCAAAGTTCCTGGGCTGAATGTGGAAGTTGGCATTCACATCTGTTCCTGCCTGTTTCTAGTATGTCTTCTTGTACAGCAGAAATTGGAAAGCTGTAAACATCTTCCAGACTCTCTTTCAGCTAGAGTTTTGGATGTAAAATTAGGGTCTGGCAAGTAGATCACTTGCCTGAGACTTCAGAGGCAGGATGAAGCAGAGGCTATCTTCCTGTTTTTTTGTTTTGACTATTTTCTGCTAGCAAGGAAGCTCCAAGAGATGCCATTGTCCAGTCTCCAGAATTGTGTGTATTGGGAGGTGCTTGGCAGCAGGGACAGCCAGACTCAGCACTGCTGTGCTGAATCACCAGCTGTGTAGCTGTGGAGAGGCAGTTGAGGGAGGTGGTGAACATGTTCTGTGTGCCCTGCCCAAACAGTTTCTAGGTCATAGCTACAGTGGTTCCTGAACTCCATAGGCCCTGCCTGTGGAGCTTCCTGACTGGCAAAAATGGTACATTCCTTGATGGTTCAGTTGCTAGTGTTCTACAAGCCATTCCTGGGGGCTCAGCCTGAGCCCTATACTTCTTGCCCTTTAACAATCTCGTGAACACTTAATTCCCTGTATAAAATCTCTTTCTGCTTAAAATACCTGGAATGGTTTCTGTTTCTGCATTGACTCTGATTAATATGCTTTTATATAGCCTCTAAGAGTTACCTAAACCTAATGTCTTCAGTTTCTTTAGTTGGGAGATGAAACCATGAGATTAGATCTAGAGATCTGTGGTACTTTGAATGCCTTTAATTGGGCTAGGCCACAGATCCCACATTGCCTATCACCTGCCTGTCCCCTGAAAGCATTTATTACCTATAGATTAGATCCGTAAAGTCTCTTGCTTTACAAGTATATGGTGAAACATTTCATTTAGAAATATTTACAAAATATTTTGTGTAACATGAGATTGTCAACCTATTATTTATTGGTACTAGTGATAATTTATATGCTGTTTCTCTTAGGTACAATACAAACTTCAGTGATAGAACATATTTTTCCTCTGGGGAAAAGGGTTTATATCTTTTTCACACAAAGCCTGGAAACACAGTATTTGGGAAAATGGAGCTGTCTGTATATGCACTTGTGTAATGAGGGAGTGTTCTCGGTATTTTATAGGCATGTGTCAAACATGTTAAGGAGGTTAGGTGCAGTGGCTCACACCTGTAATCCTGGCACTCTGGGAGGCCAAGGTGGGAGGATTGCTTGAGCTCAGGAGTTCAAGACCAGCCTAAGCAAGAGTGAGACCCATCTCTACCCAAAACAGAAAAAATTAGCCAGATAGAAAAAAAAAAATTAACCAGGCATGGTGGCCTGAGCCTGTAGTCCCAGCTGCTTGGGAGGCTAAAGCAGGAGGATCACTTGAGCCCAAAAGTTTGAGGTTGCAGTGAGCTAGGCTGATGGCACAGCACTCTAGCCTGGGCAACAGATCGAGACTCTGTCTCAAAAAAAACAAAAAAAGAAAACATGTTAAGGAAACTACAATTATGATTAATTCTAGAATTTTTTTTTTTTTTTTGAGACAGAGTGTCGCTTTGTTGCACAGGCTAGAGTGAGTGCCGTGGCGTTAGCCTAGCTCACAGCAACCTCAGACTCCTGGGCTCAAGCAATCCTGCCTCAGCCTCCCGAGTAGCTGGAACTACAGGCATGCGCCACCACGCCCGGCTAATTTTTCCTATATATATATTAGTTGGTCAATTAATTTCTTCTAGTTATAGTAGAGACGGAGGTCTCACTGTTGCTCAGGCCGGTTTCGAACTCCTGACCGAGCAATTCACCCGCCTCGGCCTCCCAGAGTGCTAGGATTACAGGCATGAGCCAATGCCCCCGGCCTTAATTCTAGGATTTTTAACCGCCTTATAAAATTACTAAGTACATTTTGTCAACATAATAAAATTTCCTTTTAAAGAAATTAATTTTTAATTTGCTTTTGTGTATCTTATATGAAAGACTAACAAGTTTGAATTTACTAGTGTCCTTTACCTCTGCTCGTTAATGTAGCACATGCATGGTGCCTTTCTCAAAGAATATCTTATAAAACGAAAATAAAGCAGTAGGAGTACTATGTTGGGACTCCATGGTGTACTGAGTACCGTCAGGATTTGGAGGACACAGGCATCATTGATGTTAGAGGACATAAAAACAAAAACAAAAACTTATCCCCAAAACTGGGCCCCAATTGATGGTTAGTAGTCAATGACGGGTAAAACTCTCCGTAGGGGGTGACCTAAGACAGGCACAACCATGGGGGTCAGGGGGGAGCTGCCGCCTGGGATTGAGACCAAAAAGCACTTCAAATGGCTTCATTGTTTTATGTTGCCTATCTCAGCCTTGGCCTTTGAGCACCTTAACTTTAGTAACTGTTTGAGGTCTAAAAACATGGGACCATTGTTCCCTTGTGATACAACTCCAAAATTTACTGATATCGTTGCTGTGCTCAGTTGCTCACATACAAAAAACTAACCTTGGGTCTGGGGGGTATAAAAATAAAGCGACTGGTGTATTAGACACTCAAGTCATTGTCACCTCCTTGTGTGTCTTTGTCATTATTTTATGTTCTGTGTTCATCCCCCATCCTGTAATCAGGCCATGTCAGTTGCCATTCTGCAGATAAAGAAACTTGTCTGCGCTGGTTAAGTCACTGGCTCCAAATGTCCCAACCAGGAGGCAATAGCTCAAGGGTTTACACTGAAGGTTTCCATCTCTGTTTTCCTCCCATTGTGCCACGTTGTGCATGTTATCCTTTAGTTAATATGAATGTGCATAGAATTCCCTGTATGTACCTTCCTTTTCACACCTTGTTCTTAGCTTATGTGGAGGTTTTATTTTTGCCTGGAATGGTCTTCTGTAGTTTCTTTGCAAGTGTAATTCATCTTTCAAATCTTGATTATAGCATCATCTGACCCCAGCCACGCAGGGCAATACGTCCTCTACTTCTATTTAACTCTATGCCTACACTTCTCGCATCATAATTAAATTAAGACAATGCTAGCTGCTGTAACAGATAAAATCCAAAATCTCAGTAACTAAACACCGCACAAGCTTATTTCTTATTCATGTAATATCCAATCAGGTGTTCAGTTGGTGGCCTTCTCTTTAGTGATTCAGGAACCGAAACTCCTTTTGTATTATGGCTTTGTTATCCCCTAAGACTTTGAAGTCCTTAGTTTCCAGGCAGTAGACAGAAAAAGAGAGCATATAGGGAGAATTACCTGAGAGGTTTGTTATGGACAAGGACTAGAAATAACATTCATTGTCTATGCCCACATCCCATTGGCCAGACCTCAGTCACATGCCACACTGATCTCCCAGGGAGACTGGGAAGTATCAACCATGGGCCTGGGCAGCAGAGGGAACTAGTTTGGTGAACACATATTTTTCTCTGTCCCTCCCTGAAAAGACAGACACTGCATTTTAGTCATCTTTGTGTCTCTTGTCCCTTATACACCATAGAAACCCAGTATAAGTTCAGTACACTTCACTGATTGTTAAAGGATGGGGTTGCTAGCTCATGTTTCTAAAATTGAAACTTGCCATAGTTTATTATAATTGCTTAGGAAGTTTCTATCATTCCTGACTAGATTACAAGCTTTGAGCACAGGAACTATGTAAGACTGTTCACTTCTGAATCCCCAGCACAGCTGTGTTTCCCTGAAAATAAGACAGGGTCTTATATTTATTTTTCCTCAGGAAGACACCTAGGGCTTATTTTCAGGGGATGTGCTATTTTCCCCTCAAAGTCTCAGCTTGCAGCACGCACAGGATGGCCGGGACCTGACAGGGGAGCTGACCTTGTTGGTGGAGCCGTCCGCACCTTTCAGTCACCTCTGGGACAGTAGCTGTCACGACGGGGTGTGGGGCGCGGTGTCAACGCCATTACGAGATGGCGCCTGTTTCCGGCTTTGCCTAGAGCAGTAAACAAGTTCAGCGCACGCGCAATTGTCGGTTACCCTGTGGCGCAAGCATGCAAATGAAGGATCCTACTATGGACCAATGCTTTGGTGGCTAGACAGCTGAGCGGCCTATCCCAGCTTAGGGGTTGTGCTTCTAGGGTATATAGCAGCCTACGTGCTGCCGGGCTGGGTCTTCCGCATCATGTAAGTCTAAAGGGAACCCCATTAAAGC